TTTAATGATCTGCTCAGGTCCCTTCCGACCCTACCTACTATGAAACTATGCAATGTCTGTCCCAGACTCCATCCTGGTTAAACCAGAGTCCACCAGCATCCCAACATACTCTCTGGACTGGGCTCTCTGCTCCAGCCAAGCAGGGCTGGCCCCACCCCACCCCACCCTAGCCAGCATTGGCGATGCATAGGGGGTGCATGCGGGTATACGTGCACCCCCTGAGATTGGTGGTGCACCCCCTGCAAAAAGCACCGCTGATGCTCACCACCCTCCCACTTCGCTGCTGACACTGCCAGCAGCATCTGCTGGCGGTTCCTGTTCGCCACCGCCGACCGCTGGTCATTGCTTGCCCCCCCCCATCAACACCACCATGGCTGCCTGTGGGCGGTCCCCACTTGCCACCACTGTGCCACCGCCACCGCTGCCTGTGGGTGGTCGCCATGCCCCCCAAGCCTCTGGGGGCATTCGGCGTTCATGCCAGCTGGAGCAGAGACAGGCAGGGGCAGGCAGGGGGGGAAGTCTGGCCAGACAGGGGTTAATTCCCCCCTCCCTGTCCCACTGGGTGGAAGTCTGGCCAGAGAGGGTTTAATTCCCCCCTCCCTGTCCCACTGGCAGGGACCCAAACTTTTTTTGAATGTCTGTCCCTAGCCCAGGACTTTGTGATGAGACCTTTCTATTTTAAGGAAAGGTGTGGGGAAGTCCTGGTATCCTACCTGTTAAGGTGTGGGACTGAGCATGGGAGATGTTGATTGGACTGAGTTCACCACATAAGGAAAAACTGTTAAGCGGGTTTAAGACAGCTCTTGGACATACCTCTCCTGCTTTAGAGCGGACTTTTCTACCTGGAGCTCATTCCAGCAGAACTCTGTGCCCAGACAGTTTCTTATTGCAGTGCTTCATGTTACTCAGCAGGCCATCAGAGATCAGATGTTGCAGCTGTATAGCACCTTTTGTGCAAAGGCTTCTGTTATCTTTAAAAACCTTAGTCAGTTAAGCTTCCTGGAGGAACGTGAAGGTTGCAGATGGGGAAACTGAAGTGAAGCAGCTTGTGGAAGATCACACAAGAAGTCAGCGTCAGACACGGAAATATAACCCAGGTGTCCTGATTTGCAGTGTTTTGCTGTTGCTGCTCAACAATTTCCCCTTTGTTTGGGGTGGCATTGTATCCACCGTTGGTTCATAAGTACCAGGACAAGGTCAGACTAGCCTGTTCATTATTAAGAAAAACAAGAGTCTTTTACATGACCTGATGTTAAAGCCAAAAGCAGAACTGGTCAGAAGGTCCTTATATTTGCTGCAATCTCGAAAAGGCAGAGCCAAGTCAAAATCACCACACTGTTATGGTAACCACAGTTCGGCATCACCATTTGCAATTCCCGATCTCCCAGAATTATTTTCATGCAGGCAAAATACGCTGCTCCAGGTATTATAAACCTCTGTTAAGCTATGTACTTCATGTTAATGACTGTCCCCCAGGTGGTATTCTCCTGCTGAGTATCCAGCATAAAAACATGCTAAATTAACTGGAGGTTAGGCAGTGCCCCAAATTCACAGCCCTGTGTGGGGACAGTGCAGGGCCATACCCACAATCACAAAGGGAGATGGAGCTCCCTGGACTTCAGGGACTGGGCTGGGAAACCTCTTCAAAGGGTACAGCACGCTGTATCTCTTCCCTGCAGCCAGCCACATCTGGTGGTTGTTATGTAGCGGGGTGGATGGAAGGACAGTTTTTCCACCTTGTCTCCTCAGTGGCTCCTTCAAGCAAGCTGCTCGTAGGGAGACCCCATTGTTAACCTCCCTTGCAACTGCACGATCCCTGAGACTGCAATGAGGGCCGTTCAAAATGTGCTGGGGTCGGGAGCAGTATTCCTTCCTGCTATCTTGCCCCACAGCCTTGGGGGCTGGCCATGATTTTGTCCTAAATATTTACAAACCAAAATGAAAGGTTCTCTTCCCTCTTCCTGAGAACATGAAATACCCAAACAAGATGCTGTGTGTGCCTGCGCTTGCACTGTGGTTCTTTTTGCTGATTGATTTGGCTTTCTCGCTCTCTGCTCTGGCACTAGCTCTTTGGGGTTTGTTTGTTTGCTTAGTTTTTCTGGCCTTTCCTCACAATAGCTGGGGATTAATATTTTTAACCCCTAAAGAAGTCAACACTGATATTGGACTCCTTGCGGACCCAGCTTGCATTTGCATTTTACGGACTTTGGGGTAGATGGGATATTCTGTCACATCTGGATGCTGGTATGTTTGAAATCCATCTCTGAGTCC